GAATGGAAAAAGGGAAGCATTCTCAGGGAAGGTTCAGAAAGATTGAGACACTGTCTTTAGGGGTATGTAGACCAAGATGGGGAATATATGAAGAAACAATAGCTTAGCATTTTGATATTGTGTTTAATAAACGTTCCTATGATGTTGTAGTAAATCTTCTTGGCATGATATATTGGTGACTGGGTTCATTTTGCCTCCGTGAGCTCTTATTTGAGAAGTAACATAGTGGTTAAAGATGTTATCCTTGGTGGGGGCTTGGGCGGGGGAGTGTTGGGTGGGCGGGGGTGGAGATCAGATTAGGTAGGTAATAGAAGACAACCCTATTGCTCAGGTGGGAAGATACAGGAAGGTGGACCCCCATGCCCCCTGTGTCTTTCCAGCCCTGTATCCTGGGCCTCTGGGAGAAAAATCAAAAGAAAACAAAACAGGTCCCATTAGACACCAAGATGACTAGATGCTCTGCTTCCGTCTGGAGCCCCGTCCAGTGAACCTAGTGGAATGAAGGACTCGCAAGGAGTGCACTAGGGCTGGGGAAGTGGTGAGGCCTAGGAGAGAGACGTGAGGGCGGAATAGCACATTGGAGGGTGTTGGAGACTCTCATTGGGGTATGACAAGAAGCACAGCCACAGATCTTACTGCGACCCATGGTAAAAGGTCATTCCAGCAGCTGGGCTGATAAAGATATGGGTAGCTAGAGATGGCAGCTAGAGATAAGCCCATGGTGCCAGCAATTCACCGTGGTTCTCTTTCTCCAGCCTTAATGAGAAACATTGTAGAATCTTCTACTCTTTGGCATCGTGAATACATTTATTTTTCTTTTTTTAAGAGAGCCACTCAATTACTCTCACTGCCACCAAGTGATTCCAGCTCACAGTGACCCTATCAGACACAGTAGAACTACCCCCATGGGGTTTCTAAGACTAAATCTTTTTTTTTAACGTTTTATTGGGAGTTCTTACAGATAGCATAACGTTCCACTGTTCAGTCACATCAAGCAGGATTTCATATCATTGCTACCACAATCAGTTTCAAACATTTTCTTTCTACTTGAACTCTTTGATATCAGCTCCCCTTTATCTCCTCCCTCCCCCACCATACCCACCAGGAACCCTTATTCTGTGTTTTTTCCTTCTATAATAGTTTTTTGTTTCCATATTTGAAACAATCCTATCGATGCATTCACATACAATTCTGTTGTTCGATCTGAAGGGTTATCTATTTTGACTGTCATGTACCGAACGATCTTAAATATACAGATGAACATATGCAGATCTAGCATGCCTAATAAGGAAAGGCAAACAAAAGTCATAAATAGTAATCCCCCTTACTATTTAATATTAGAGAACTATAGTATAGTTACATAGTTCATTAGTGCCATACTGCATCATCCCTTCCGTGTGGCCCTTCTGTGAGGAACTGTCCAATTATCTGACAGGTGAGGTTAGGGTCTCCACTATATATCCACACTCATTCACATTGATTTGGTTGCTAGTTTTTGAGCTTCTGATCCTCTTCCATCCTCACCTCATGATCACACAGGCTGGTGTGCTTCTTCCATGTGGGCTTTGTGGCTTGATGGCAACTTGTTTAACTACAAGCCTTTAAGACCCCAGAAGCTATATCTTTTGATAGCTGGGCACCATTAGCTTTCTTCACCACATTTGGTTATGCACCCATTTGTATTCAGTGATCATGCCAGGAAGGGGAGTATCATGCAATGCCTCAATGCTGCATTATTAGAACAAACCATTCTTGAACTGAGGTAAGATTTAAGTAGAGGGCCAAAGTCCATCTGCTTCCTTGTTTCATTTGCATATATATACATATGTAAACAAATGCACACACATATATATTTTTAAATCTTCCTCTTTTCTTTTTTCTTTCCTCCTACCCCACTATTATTATGTTTACCCCATTGTTCACATCTCAGATACAATCCGATTGATCAAACATGACCCAAAACACACACACACACACACACACACACACACACCCTCCTCCTCATCAATTATAGAACACTTACTGCTCACCTGTACCTATCATTGTTGGCTGTTGCCAACCAGGAACCATCGGACCAGTCACTGTCTCCATAAGACTGCCTATCCTGTCTATCTTGTATAGATAAGCACCAGATAATAATAATAAATAAGCATACATATCCCTGTTAGTCTTGTGACTAACAGGGATCATGACACAGAGCAGATAAATACCTCTCTGTTAAATAAAGAAAAGGGCGTGTTATAAACCATCAAGATTGTAAATCTTTTACAGGAGTGGAAAAGTTCATTTTTCTCCTGCCAAGAGACTGGTGGCTTCAAACTGTCGAGCTTGAGGTTACTGGTGATCAAGTTAATGCTAACTCATAGTGACCCTACAAGTCAGAGTAGAACTGGCCCTGAGAATTTGTGAGACTGTAACTGTTAATGGGAAAAGAAAGCCCTGTGTTTTACCATTAATGCTAACTCATAGTGACCCTACAAGTCAGAGTAGAACTGGCCCTGAGAATTTGTGAGACTGTAACTGTTAATGGGAATAGAAAGCCCTGTGTTTTGCCTACAGAGCACCTAGTGGCTTTGAACTGCTATCCTTGCAGTTAGCAGCCCAGTGCATAACCACTAAGAGACATGAACCATCAAGGCTTATATTAAAAATATGTCATGGAGCAAAAGACTGCTGGCCATGGACAAAAAACTTTTGTAACAAGTAAACAGACTTACCAGATGTTCTCATGCCTAAACTATATGATTTATGCAGGAATCTGCTTGAACGTGGTATCTTAAGGCAATTAAATCAAAGGATTACCATGTTATAACTTCACTTAATCGAACATACCAAAATCCTATTAATTTATTACATAAAATGAGCACAATTAACTACAGTTCAGCTGTTACACAGAAAGGAACACCATGTGATGAGACTAAAACCCACGGAGGGAATTGAGTAGCATTTACGTATAATTTTGGAGAATTGACTGTGCCAACTTCGCGGAAATGTAAAACGTAAAAGCTTTAACTGACCTTAGAAGGACCTTGTACAATTGTGCTAAAGAAATTCAAATTCAAATAAGAAAACATTTTCCAGTAAGTATCTAATTTAGTAATTTGACAGTTTACCCTAAATCAGCAGTTCTCAACCTGTGGGTCACAACCCCTTTGGGGGTCGAATAACCCTTTGACAGGGGTCGCTTAAGACCATTGGAGAACACATATTTCCAATGGTCTTAGGAACAGAGACACTGCTCCTCAATCCACCTCCAGGCTGGTCCGCCCGCCCACACATGAGTACCAGGCGTGATGACATCATCATGCCAGCCCCATCACATACACCCCGTACAAATACAGGTATGTGTGACAAGGTTGGCGCCATAATGTACTTATATGGACCAGTCACACATGTGTAGAGAGTAGCTACTATGTAGAGAGCAGCTACTGTGTAGAAAGCAGCTGCTGTGTTGAAAATAGCTACTCTGTTAAAGGCAGCTACTGTGCTGAAAGCAGAAGTATTAGAGGCAAAAGGGCACTTTATGAATTATAATTACTGGGTAAATATAAAATCATGTACTGTAAAATCATCAACTACTCAAACAAAAAAAAAATATATATATATATCTGTACTATGGGAACTTAATCTGGATGCTGATCAGTCTTTTTATATTCAACTGTGGTTGATGTGAATACTGCCCCCTTGTGATAGTAACAGGCATGTAAAAAAAAACCAGAATGGTAAATCATAGGAAACTTTAATGAACTGTATTGACTGAACTGTGCCATGTATCATTTTTTGTATTATTAAAGCTATTGTTATATATTATTTTCATTAGCAAACCATCCCGTGACAATGGACTGTGTAGAGAAGAATGTTAAGAAAAGAAAATATAGTGAGGATTTTTTTAGAGTATGGTTTTACCTCTATAATTACCGCAGGAACTGAGAAACCGCAATGTGTTATTTGTTGTGAAGTTTTATCAGCCAAATCTATGAAGCTGAACAAACTATAACACCATTTTGAAAGCAAGCATCTGAGCTTTGCCGGCAAGGATACCAACTATTTTAGAAGCAAAGCTGATGGACTCAAGAAAGCCAGACTTGACACTGGTGGCAAGTACCACAAACAAACGTAACAGCCCTTGAAGCTTCATATTTGGTGGCACTCAGAATCGCCAGAGCTATGAAACCTCACACCATTGCTGAGGATTTACTGTTGCCAGCGGCCAAAGACATTGTTCGAGTTATGATCGGAGACAAGTTTGTGATGAAATTGAGTGCAATTTCCTTATCTAATGACACTGTCCACAGAAGAATAGATGACATGTCTGCTGATATTCTTTTTTTAAAAAAATAATCATTTTATTAGGGGCTCATACAACTTATCACAATCTGTACATCCGTCATCTGTGTCCAGCACTTTAGTACATATGTTGACTTCATCATTCTTACGACACCC